CCCCCAACGAGACGCGAGAGATCATTAATCAGCGGGATCGCAACTGCTTAATTACGTTATTGCATACGAGGTGCAATTCTATTATGTTTATCGATGTACAGTTACATCGCGAGCAATTACATCAGCGACCGCGCGAAAAGTTGTTTTCTCTTCCCAGAAAGATAACATTTCATCGTTTCGTTCTTTCCTTTCGACTTAACGACCGAATACGAAGTAAATTCAACAATTACCTTGAGCTCGTTAGTATTAATTCGCCGCCGTTTTGCGGAGAAAATTCGAAAGTTCAGGTATTCCACGTGACGAATGTTATTGAATTGTTATTAATAGATCATGGATTTTTTATACGAGAACTTTTTCTTTTCGAAATTTTTAGAAACGTAACTGGGGCAATTTTTAATTTTTAATTATATATTTTAAATATATATATTTTTAATTTTTAGTTATATATTTTACGTTATGTACGTTTAGTTATATATTATATATTAATTAGTTTTTATTATTTAGTTATATACTCGAATTTTATTTTATTTTAGATATGTTTTATATAGTTTATATAGTATTATGTGTATGGTACACATTTTTGTAATCTCTGATGTCTCATAAATGCATGAAAATTCGCATTCGTGGTTGTTAAATTGTTACTCAGTATGGATAGCTCTTGGTATGGGAAATAAGTGTCGGAAGTTGAGTCGACGAAAACCACTTTTTAATATAATTTGTTATTAATTCTCTCTCATGGTTTGTTATTAATTCTGTTGTCCTCCTTTTCAGTTGTTTTTCTCTTTTTTGCAATAATTTATTTACAAAAAGCGTGATATGTACAAGATTGTAAATTATAATATAATTTACAATTATACAATAATATAATTTATAATTAATAAAATTATATTATAATTTACAATCAAAATTATAATATTATATAAATTATAATATATATTGAGTATATACAATATTAATAATATATTGAATATTAGAAACTATAAATGTTTAAATACTATGTATATTTTAATATCTATTCAAATATAATATCCATTCAAATCGCGTATAAACTTGAGAAGGACAGCAGAGTTAATAAATAGCGGATTTTCACGCATTTTCAAATTTTTATGAAGGTAATTCATATTCAAGAAATGGAAAATTAATGAAAATTATTTTGTCTGTTAGAATAAATATTCTACTTTAAATACTTTACGTACATTTTTCTATATTAGTCTATATCGTTTATTTTATATATTTTTGTATATAACATGCATTCTATCTTTGCACGTTTGTATCTTTCAATGTTTCATAAATGCACAAAAATCCGCAACTGAAGGTATCAATGTATAATGCAATACTGAAAATTTTCGAACATTCAAGTTCTATATTTATTCCTAACAAATAACTAACATTTCATAAAACTTATATGAAAATTTTGATTAAAATATATATTAAAAATATATATTTAAAATATATAACTAAAAATTAAAAATATATATTTAAAATATATAACTAAAAATTAAAAATATATATTTAAAATATATAACTAAAAATTAAAAATATATATTTAAAATATATAACTAAAAATTAAAAATATATATTTAAAATATATAACTAAAAATTAAAAATATATATTTAAAATATATAACTAAAAATTAAAAATATATATTTAAAATATATAACTAAAAATTAAAAATATATATTTAAAATATATATAATTAAAAATTAAAAATATATATTTCTGTCTTTCTAATATTTCAATACTGGACAAACATACTTAAAATCATTTAATTAGAAATGTCACTGCAAAATTAATCTTCAATTATACTCATTGACATTAATTTTTCTATTGACCGTGTACCTTGCAATTAAATTCATTTGAATTCTAGTTGATGTATTTGCATTAATTTAGAACAATTCAAATATTCATACTCGATAGCGTATTCTATTTAATTCTTTGAATGTTTAATCTATAATAATTTTTTATAATTAACAATAAAGTAATTGGTCTACTTATTAAAACACAAAGAATATACACTGAATAAATACAAGTATTAAAATATATATACTTGAAGATGACTCAGTTATTAATTTGTTATTCTGCCTTTCATTTTAAGTTCTTTTGGTAACTTCAAGCGTTCAAAGGGTCAGCATATCTGCAGATATATATCTAACATTCGTCGAAATTTCATTTTCGATTTTGCTGCTGCAAAGCATAGTTACAAATGCTAATGACAGGTTGAAATCATTTTCGTCGAAAACTTATCCACGTGAAATCGAATAAATAGCTCTGCTGAACTGAATTACGCATAGGCGAGCTATCATTAGACGCAATTCTCAGTCCTTAGCAGAAAGCTGAGCGAATGTCAGAGAAACGTGAGAAACATAATCTTGGAACACGTCACCCGTCTTCCGTCGGGTTTCTAACAGGGGCGGGGCACGGAAAGATGAAATTAGTGTAACGAAGCTGTCTTTTCATGACGCGAAGCGACGAGACCGCATTATTGGGTTAAGGACGTCGCACATATTTCGCTTGTTTCGTCGTTACGAAAGAATTTTCACGGAAACGATGCCTACTTGCGTTCTTCTCGCTACCATCGTCGTTGACACGTGATACCAAGCATCATTGCGCTTACACTTCGCGTACGATAAATTGGATGTTTTAAGAATAAATAGCTAATTGTGTACATGTCAAAATAAAATGAACATGTACTGATGTATTGATTTATTGTTCAATGTAAAGAAATATAAAGACTAGGGAAATTATTGAATACAAGAAGAGAAAATTTATTGTTCACCAAAGTCGTCAATTAATCAAGAAAGTTTAAGAGGGATATTACTTAAAATTTAATATTATTAAAAATTCGATAGATTTTAATAGAATTTAGAAATTACATAAAGTAAAAGATTTAAACACTATAAATTAAATATACAAAACGTATTTGTTGCGCTTCTTAACTTTTTTTTTATAGCAAATGATAGTTTAACAAAATGGATGTTTATTTTATTCTGATGTGACATTGTACAATAACAAATAAAACGAAAGGTTATTTATGAGGTAAGATGATCCATAATTTTATAAATTGGAATTATATTTACTAAGAATTGTAAATAGATAATTGTTATTAATATTGATGAGAAAATATCTAGTATAAGAGTTATTGATTTTTCTACATATATAATTTTAAACTTTTTTTTGTTCACCACTGTAACTCGATAATTTGAAAATTTTTTCCCGTTGTTTCTAACAGTTTTAATTTTTGATAGTTTCAGTTTATAATTTAGAATGATTCTTGACCAATTTTTACTATAAAAAGTATTACTATTATACCATATAATTATATACTGTATAAATATCATCATATTATATTATAAAAAATATTTGCAAAAGGAAAGTATTTTGTGAATGAAATTTTACAAATTTAAATAACTAAAATAAAGTAACAGATGAAAAACAAATGAAATTTTATAAATTACGAATGATTTTATTATCTTATTAAATATTATTATTCTATTAATTATTAAAATATTATATTTATTAAAACAGTATATTTATTATAAAATATAATGAAATTTATTAAAATATAAATGTTTATAATTTGTCAATTCATTAATGTTATCTATTAATTTATGAATAATGAGTAATTAAAATTGTTCTAAAATTTATCTAAAAATTGCACACTTTCTCAAAATATATTAAACATATTAATTATACAATATTATCAATTTATAAATATCATTGAGAATTATAACAATATAAAGTTAAATTAGTTTGTTTTAAGATTTTTAATTTAATTGAGTTTTAGTAAAAAAAATTAAACTTATACAGTGATATTAAAGTATAAATTAAACATTGAATTATAATATTAGTAAATTAAACTTATAATTTATTTATACAATTAATCACTAAATCTTGGTAATCTAACAGAAATTGCTATAGTTATCTATACGATATTATACTCTACGATATTATTTGCAGATTAAATTTATTAATTTATTGAAAATTTCATTATTTACTTTGTATCATACTAATTAAATTACTATTATTAATTAAATTATTTATTTTGCACTAAGTATCAGTTGCATAAATCTTCCACATGTTCTTATGATCTTTTTCATTGAATGTTTTAATACTTATTATATACAAAAGAGATAATTGAACGCGTCATGCAATTAATCACAAGCAAACATTATAATGCAATATAGTGAGGAATAATCTAAATGAGTAACGATTAAAGTACAATTAAATTATTTATTTCGTACCTTCAATTTAATAATTTCAAGCGCATAAATGTTTCATACCTTCTGCGCAATTTCTTTTATCGAATTTTTCAATAGATATTTGTTATTAAAATGATAGTTGAACAACACACATAATAGTGTAAACAATATAATGCAATAAAGTAATTTAAACAACAATAAATAATTATTAAATTATTATAATAAAATTATTTACTCTCTAACATCTAAATTTCGTCGTCGCGATCTTTTTTTTTTTTTTTTTATTAAAGTCCCCGATACTCGTTACAAAAGAGATAATCAAACGCATTATCATACAATTACAAACATTACGTATAATGAAACAAGGTATCAAATAATTCAAAACAAGTAGATTAAATTATTACAGTAATATTGAAATAATAACAAGTAAAAACTAAATTATTACAATAAAAAAATTGCTGACTTTACGACATCGACTGCATTTCTTCTTTGCGACATTTCTCATCCGAGTTTTCCAGTACTCGTTACGAAAGCGACGATCAAACGCTATCGTGCAATTAGACACATGCGTGATACAACAATTAAAACAATAATAAGTGAACTTACACCGTTACTTGTTTTAAATTACTTGTTTTATAGCATCTATATTGAATTCCTTCTTCGCTTTTTTTCACAGAATTTTCCAATGCTCGTTATTACGTAGAGGAGAACTCGTTATGCAACAGATACGCTCGTTAGACACGTGTGAGCGCGGCAATGCAACAAACGAATCATATAAATAATTAATTAACTTTTTGCAGACGATGTATACTGACGGTCTCCTGACGCTCCATTATGGGAAGCATCCAGCGACCTTGGCCGCGGAGGTCGGAGCCTGGTACACCGGGGACCGTCACGTGGACGTGACGTTAGCCTGCGACGACGGATCGGTCGTCAAGGCCCATCGGGTAGTTTTGGCCGCAGCTAGTCCCCTTTTGGCTAGTCTCCTTCGTAACCCGGCGCTGGACCACGTGGTCCACTTGTCCGGAGTCCGAAAGACCCAGCTCACTCATCTGCTGGAATTCCTCTACAACGGAGAAGCTCTCATTCCAGTAAGACTGTTATATCTTGTTGCGCAACAATTACCAACGGCGGTTGATCGTTGTTCGACGATTGAAATATAAAAGGTGTTCAAGAACGATCGTTTCTGTATTTTTCACAGTCGACGGAACTCACGCCGCTAAGGGAACTGTTCGAGCTTCTTCAAATCAAGTCGGAGCTGTTCGAGCCGAATCAACCACAGACTTCTAGCAACTCCGACCCCGAAAGGATACCCACCCCTCAGCCCTCCGAGGGCCAGGAAAGTTCTAGCTACGAGTCACAGTACGATGGCAGGTTTGTAGATACATGTTAGGTTAAAGAGTTAGGCTATTTTAAGTAACTAGACCGTGGATTTTTGTCTAAATTTGTGTATTAAAAACTTATGAGGATGTAATTAAAGGGACAGAAACACCGCAATGAAAATTGTTTCACGTAGTTGGTAAAGAGTAAACGCTTTCTTTTATTTTGTACATTTGTGATTTTGAATTATCTGAAATCGTTCATTATTATTGAAAATGTTCAATATGAATAAAAACAATCTACAGTGATCTGTTTGTTGAATTAAAAACTTGATCGCGTCTCGAACAGATTCTAGAACTTGATCTTTTCTTAAAAATGAATCCTTAAGTGGAGGAAACTTTATTCTTCCTTTACAACTTATTTTTATTTTATGTAGAATCTGCTTTTGTACATCCACGCAACTTTGTCTTCTCATATTGTGCAAATTGTACATTCTGCGCAATTTACAATATCCTATAAATGAAAATTCACAGTTCATTAATAAAATTTTTCCATACCTTTTTTTTTTCTTATAGAAGAAATATATATATAAAGAATTGTTCAAAATAATTCTACATTAAAACAATTTAGTTTAACTCATTTCATTAAAAAAACATACATAAGACTAATACAATGAAACTCTAGAAAAAATATATATATATATATTTTATGTATGTTTTTTTAATGAAATGAGTTAAACTAAATTGTTTTAATATAGAATTATTTTGAACAATTCTTTTTGTGATAGTAAGCTGAAGATATAAAACAAAAATTTTTAGTTTCTATATACATAACATTTATTAAGAAAGTATGTAGAATTTTGTGAAAATTATAAAAAAGTGTCTTATTAAGAAGGTATTAGAATTTTGTGAAAATTATAAAAAAGTGTCTTATTAAGAAGGTATGTAGAATTTTGTAAAAATTATAAAAAAGTGTTTTATAAAGAAAGTATGTAGAATTTTGTGAAAATTATAAAAAAGTGTCTTATTAAGAAAGTATGTAGAATTTTGTAAAAATTATAAAAAAGTGTCTTATAAAGAAAGTATGTAGAATTTTGTGAAAATTATAAGAAAGTGTCTTATTAAGAAAGTATGTAGAATTTTGTGAAAATTATAAAAAAGTGTCTTATTTTTCATGAAAAAAATTCTTTATTTTTATGGAAATGTCTGCAGCAAAAAGAGTTTTAAATATTTAAATTTATGTTCACTTACGTATGTTATTTCATAAAAAGAAAGAAAAGAAAATATTATATACACGATATTCATTAAGGCTTACATGACATAGACTTTATTTTAAATTGTGTTTCAATTGCATTCTTGCAACAAGGAGAAAAATGCCAAAGATTATCATTAATTTTACACATTAATTTTACTTCAGATGGTCTAACCCAATAAGTGTTCGTGAAATGTCAATACGATCAACGAAATAGATATAATAATTTCTAAGATAGAGACATACTAAGATTAATTTCTGCTTTCGTCTTTGATCTTTTCTCTGCTAAAGAGCGAGGCTGATTCGCATAATGTCAATCGTTTACGTTTTTATCTACCACTTTTGACATTTATTCTCAGGTTTCCAGTTGAATACGCGTAATATACAGACTTTAATCATTGAATTGGCATCACTCGGAATTTTCAAAGTTTTATATATTTTTAGGAAAATTGAGAAGTTTGCGTGAAATTTAATTACGACTATTAAAACATTATATATGTACATATTAATAATTTATGTATTACTGTATGTATATTATATTTTATTAGTTACTGTTATCGAGCATTTATTGTACGAATAATAATGAAATTATAGTGTTTGTCAGTTGTACCAGTTATACATATATTGACGCTGGAATATCAATCATGAAAACTTCATTTAGATCTTTGTATTCTTGTATTGAGAAACAAAATATTGCAAAAAAAAGCAAACATGATAAAGTAGTGTGTAACAAGTGTGTTGTAATAAAGACAAAAAGAAAAAGCACAAGCTATTAATCCCGTAAATGCTCACTGAATTTTAAGAAACGATGACAAAAATAGGAACATCGTTTTCTATTTTATTAGTGCACTTCTTTATTATACTCGCCTTTTTCTTCTTCTTCTTCTTCTATTTTTCTTTAACGTCGCATCGACAGTGCCATTAGATATGTGTGTAATAGTTTGTGTTTTTGAGATATTTTAATACTTTTTGTATGTCATTCTAAGAAGTCAGGATTATGTTTGCGTCGATCCCGTTATGGATTTGGATTATGCTGCGATTATGGCTCTTATGGAATTTCGATGTCGGATTCAGATGAGCAGCTAAGTGACATGAATTCAGATGTCTCAGTCGGTTTCGTGAGCTTTTTGCAGAGTCGATGTATTCTGTTTTTTATGCTTCTTTCTTTTAGACGGGGGTAGATTTCTTCAAGAGTTTTTACAAGTGTCGATGTAGTTCTTTGCGATTTCCAATGGGTGTGCTGATCCAAAGGTGTCTTGGAGGAGGCTCTTGATCTGGGAGTAGTTTAGTTGGAGTGTGAAGGATTCTTTTTATTTATTGTTTCTTTTGCTGGGGCTAACATTTTCCTCTAGTTTGGCTCGAAAACTGCAGATTGGGGAGGAAGTGGTTTCGGTTTGGTTATTGTGATTTTTTTTTTTTTTTATGTGGATTGATCGGTGGAGGCATGAAGACTGTGTCGTTTAACTCAACTGAGTCCGGCTTGTCGTCAGCTGATGATTGTGACAGTGGTCTTTTGGAACTAAGAAGGATTGGTGGTTGCTTTGAAGGTAATTTGTTTTTGATTAGGATTGTCAATTAGGATTGTCAATCTTCTTTGCCGGCAGTTTGGAGGATTGAGTTGGTCTGGGAATCGTTGTATTTGTATTTGAGATTGTCGTATCGGTTATGTTCGAATTTTGGGTAATCTTTCGCTAAGTGACCTTCTTGTTTACAGAGAAGGCTGTCGATGAAGGCGAAAATATATAGATAAGATGTATCTTCAAAAGTTATTAGGAAGGTGGATGGGATTTTTCCAATGTCGTCGGGATCAATGTATGCCTGTCTTCTGAAGCTGAGAATGTAGGTGTATTCCGGGTCAATCATTCCTGCTTTCAGGGTTGTTATTCTGGAGCATAGCTTGACGTTGTTTCTTTTGAAAATTTTTTCAAATTCTGAGTTGCGTATGACCGGGACGACGTTTGATAGAATTATTCTTTGGGCCGGAGTTAACATTGGTCTTAGGCTTAGCATATTGTTGTTGACCGTTATTGTTTTATGCAGATTTGTTAGGTGTAGCACAGTTTCTTTTTTGTCGAGATATGCGCAAATTCGATTGTTTGAGATGTTGGAGATGTACCTTATTTGATTTGGGTCCGATTAGTTTCCCTGTTGCAAGAGCATAGTCTTGGATGCTTGTGTCATCTATTGCGTCAATGATGATAGCTTGGTCTTTTGTAGGTGGTGCATCGAGTTGTGCTGCGTGGGAGTATGATTTGGTGGAGTTGTTTGTTTCCGTTTGGTTAGAAAATTGGGAACTCCTGTACTCAGAGGTTCCCGCAGGTTGATGTTGGTTGTATTCATTCAGGTATTCTTTTGAGTTGAAGGTACGAAATTAGCGTTTGTTTCCACTAACACTGACACTATAATAATTTGTATTGCAACTCGTAAGCGAGACTATATTGGACGGTTGATCCGAGACTGGCTCGCCTTTTTATATTGTTATTCTACGAACATTTATAAATTTATGTGAAATACTATTTTTTGTAGACGAAGTTCTATTTTCTACGTTAAATTTGCTAAAGTTGGCAAACAACGTACGTATGTGAGTATCTTAATAATTAATAAAATTCATTGTTAACTCTCTAGAGATGAACTTCTAATGTTCGTGATAATTTTTACAAATTTTACAAATTTTAATACAAAAGATTAGATATTCATGGTGTCTTATAATTGAAAACAGAAAGTTTCAGTTTTTGAAAAGGCTCCAAAGGGGGGTTAAATCCTTACAATTTTATCAAAACCATGTAAAATGTTAAAAGTTGAGAGTGATTTCAATTTAATAACCGGGAACTATATTTATATAAGATATTAACAGAAAAAAGGATCGATACTTGGATGCTCATCGAGAGAAGTAAAAAAAATATCTAATCATCATGAGTCCCAAAAACAATCTTTTCCATAAAAACTATTCAATAAATATTCATTATTAATTAGCAGTATTCGTTTATTTATTCATTATTTATCATTTGTTATTCGGTCTCGTATGACTCTCTTTGCAGTACACATTATACATTGAATATGTAATCAAACGAAAGATACAGAGGAATTCATAAGTTCAAGGCTGTAAACGCTAGTTCAAGATTATTACTGATAACAAAGATTTATTTATAATAATTCAAAAATTATAATTATATACAACCTACAAAATTATAATTATATACAATCTATCGTGTACAAAAATTATAATTATATACAATTTATTATGTACAAAAATTATAATTATATACAATCTATTATGTACAAAAATTATAATTATATACACTCTATTATATACAAAAATTATAATTATATACAATTCATATACAAAAATTATGATTATATACAATCTATATACAAAAATTATAATTATATACAATTTATATACAAAAATTATGATTATATACAATCTATATACAAAAATTATAATTATATACAATTCATATACAAAAATTATGATTATATACAATCTATATACAAAAATTATAATTATATACAATTTATATACAAAAATTATGATTATATACAATCTATATACAAAAATTATAATTATATACAATTCATATACAAAAATTATGATTATATACAATCTATATACAAAAATTATAATTATATACAATCTGTTATGTACAAAAATTATAATTATGTACAATCTATTATGTACAAAAATTATAATTATATACAATTTATATACAAAAATTATAATTATATACAATCTATATACAAAAATTATAATTCTGTACAATTTATTATGTACAAAAATTATAATTTTATACAATCTATTATATACAAAAATTATAATTATATATAATCTATTATATACAAAAATTATATGCAATCTATATACAATTATAATTATATGTCAGGCTAAATAATATAAATGAATTAGTCATATTAGTTAACTTGACAGAAATAAATTATCATTATATTATTGTTTGACGTTACAGGCAGTCGAATAATCCGGCGGACTGTTGCTCGGTACTAATAAAGACCGAGGGATGCGAAGAGGAACCAGAAGTAGACGTGGAAGGCGTCGAGGGTGAAGCACTTCTCACGGAGAATAGAGAAAGCAGTATAGAACCGCCTCGACGGAGGGATAGCTCCGATCCCGTCAACTTAAGTTTAAATTCTGGGACTTCCACTACTAGCGAAAGTTCGCACGATATCGTACCTAGGTACAAAGGCTTCAAAATAATTCGTCAACGTTATCAAACTGAACGATGACCTCGAGAGTCTATGTTACATTCAACATTCACATTTTCAGATAACATTTGCGATATAAATTCTTCTTCCATAAGTTTCAAACGCATAAAAGTGCTTCTTCCGCACTGTACTATTTTATTTTTACCACACTTGTGTTTTACATGCATTGATTTCTACACTTCAACAAACAACTTTCTTTCAAGAGACTGCAGAGACTCATGTCTGCACTGTCAACTCAATTGTAACGTCCAGAATGTAACATAGATAATTCGATAATTCTCGTAGAAAATTTATCGCATCGTTCCAAGAGTTTTATACGCTGCATGGTTGATTTAGGCCAGAGAAGCAGTTATTGGAGAGGCGAGAATCTCTAGAAGAAGCGGAAGAGAGAAGGAGGCAATTAGCGGCTCGACTCGCGTTAGGCTTAGAACCGGGTAAACGAAAACCCGAGGAAATACCTATCCCACCTGCGGAGGCGTACATCGTGACGCCTCATCGGAAACGAAGGCCAGGCTTTCACAATGCACCCGCACAGAATCCAGCCTTTGTACCGTTTAATCCTGGATTCGAGACGCCGAGGAGGTTGCAAGCGCCACATCCTCTCAGCGTTTCGGCACCTCCGTACCTGGTACATATAATTTTCTTTTTACATATATATATATATATATATATATATATATATTACAAAATTTTTATTTCATTTCAATTTAAAAATATTTTAATATATTAATATATATAATATATATTTATAGTATATATATATATATTAGTAATATATAAAATATTAATATATATAGTTTAATATATTAATATATATAATATATATTTATAATATATATATTAATATATAAAATATTAATATATTAATATATTAAATTATATATATTTATAGTNATATTAATATATTAATATATTAAACTATATATATTTATAGTTTAGTATATTAATATATATTATAGTTTAATATATTATTATATTAATATATATAGTATAAAATATTAATATATATATAGTTCAATATATTAATATATATATACTTTAAAATATTAATGTATATATAGTTTAATATATTAATATATATGATATATATTTATTATATATATATACTATTAATATATATTTATATATAATATATAAAATATATATTAATAGTATATATATACTATAAATATATTTTATATATATATTAATATTTTTATATATATATATATAGTATATATATATATATATATATATATATATATAGTAATTATAGTTATGTAAGAATATAAAAAAAGAAAATTAAATTGCAGCCAAAAGAAAAAATTTCTTTTATTGGAAATTAATTTCAAGATATAAAATATTTTTAAATTGAAATGAAATAAAAAATTTTGCGACGTCTGCACGACAGCTGTGAATTGTCCCATGAATTTTTTATTAGACTCGGTTGAAGGAAAAACGCAATATGAAGCCAGTAGACATAATAATGGCAAAATATTTCATCCACTAGGTAGTCTAAGGGTTAATTAAAATTTCGATGCTACAAAAAAAAAAAGAAAAAAATATTACGAATAGTATATTTATTCAGTAGCCTACCTAGTAACAACGCCAATACGAAATGATTGAATGTTTGAACAAAAGAAAATCTGACAATTGGAGGCAAAATTTTTCCCCGTGTGATACAAAATAGTAACGTGGTGTTTATTTTCGATATTTATTTAGCAGGACAGATCAGTGACACCGCCAGGAGCGTCACACAGGCCACCAAGCGCAGATCCAGCATCGGCGGCGGGCTTGGAGCCACCTTGGGGCTCCTGGGCTCTGCCACCAGCCAGGGCGCCTCCACCACCGCCAACGGACGACCCGCCAAAGTCTACCCCCGTTCGCGAGTATCGGTGCAGCTACTGTGGCAAACAGTTCGGCATGTCGTGGAACTTGAAGACGCATTTGAGAGTGCATACCGGTGAAAAGCCGTTCGCGTGTAGACTTTGCGTGGCTATGTTCAAGCAGAAGGCTCACCTGTTGAAGCACCTTTGCTCGGTACACCGAGGCGTGATAGCCGCCCCCGACAATACTTTTACTTGTTGCTTCTGTTCGTTAAGTTTCGATAGTCTACAAGAATTGATCAGGCATCTGTCCGGGCCGCACAACAACTTGCTGCTCAGCAAGAACCTGCACGACTAGCGACACGGATAAAGGCGAATCCGGTGCTGAATCGCGTCACCCCCCCTCCCCGCGACGAATTTCATTCGTGCCTCCTGCAAATCGATGTGTTCAGATCAAAGAGACAGGTCGGAGTGCCGCATGAAATTTCTTTCTCAGTATTCGAACTTTCGATTCAGCATCATCCTCCACCGGGAATTGCTCTCGACCGGGAACTTTTGATCTGAATATTGATCTCGGGACGATGAACGTTGTTACATTTGATAAAAGAGAAAATTCAATACTTTTATAATCATCGTGTTATGTTACGACGACTGAAGAAACGCATGTTCGAATAATTCTCTGGTGGCACGAGCGAAATTTTTGGTTACACCAAGTATGAATCATTTTCAGAAAATGCAAGTACAACGTACATTGATCTTACATTGTACATTAAATTTAAATATCGCAAGTGCTTTTCTACAAAATTGTGCCTCGTTGCTCGTCCGTCAGAAAGTTATTATCTCGTAAAATTTCAGACAACAACAGAGTCCCGCATAAAGTATTAAAGAATCTTCGCGAAGCTTTCCTTTCTTACAAAAAGTTCAACGGCACGGAGCACCGGGTGAGCCTTCCGAAAGCGTTACGTCGTTTTCGCGTCCTCGTTGAAATTGTGAAGATGTTCGAGAAACGACGCGACAATCGACTACCTGTTTTATTATTATAAGCGATGACCAGTAACTTTGACCAAATGACGTATTTCCGACGAATGGCGTGTTGGTGTGTCGGGTATGTTGACGGTCTCTGTCGGGGAACGTTAAGAAAGTCGAAACGAGAGTGTAAGAGATAAAGCAAAGAAAATATATAGAAATATATATATATATATAAACGAAGAGGCGAGAGTCAATTATCGTTGTCACGCGTCGAGAATTTCGATTCACTCACTCTGTGAACTCGACACGCATCTCGTTGCGTCTTGATTAAATTGATTAAAAAAAGAAAAAAGAAACAAGAAGAAAGCTTTCAAACGCTTCGCATCACGTGACGACAATCCAGCAGAACCTCTCGTTTACCTCAGACCGCGCGCAAAACAATCTCACGTGTAAATAACGTTAATCTCTTTTTTTTTTTTTTTTTTTTTTTTTACTCGGGATATTACCTATTAAATACGTCGCGAATTTGATTTCAG